TTGGGACAGCTGGACGCTGAGGAAGAAGGAGGGGTCTGGGATGACTGCAGGTCTTGGCTTGATGTCTGGGAGCCCCGAGGTGGAGCCGGCAGGGATGGGGCTGGATGAGATCAGACTTGGACCTGGTCAGCTGGAGGGGGTTGCAGGCCAGCCGGGGAAGATAATGTAATAATCAACAACTAACCACCACACTTCTGTGACTTAGGAGGTGCCAGGCACTGTACTAAGCATTTTTTTTAGATTATTTCTTATCACCCTCACAATAAAGGCAGGAGTTAGTTGTTGCTATTTCCCCTATTTTAAGACAAGAAAATGGAGACTTAGAAGAATGAGAATAGTTAGTTCAAGAGCAAGGGGTAAGGATGGCCAAAGGAGCTCAGAGCTGAGGGGAAGGTGTGCAGTGTAGACTTTGAGCTCCCTGATTGGAGTCTCTGCAGTCACAGGTCTCCAAGGGAACAGGGGAGGTGGCACATTGAAGCCAGGATGGTGGCCAGACCGTAAATGAAAACAGAACTAATAACCTTTGGGGGCTGAAGGTATCTAAGATCTGTGTGAGTTTTCAGTTCTCTGGGTGACAGTTTAGGCTTTGTCTGGGTTTTTTAAAAAGAGGATGTGACTTGTGAAGTTCTGGTAAGATTTGAGTAGGGGGCTGGAGTTGGGGGATTGATTATATAACCCCTGTAGATCCCAAAGGAATGGGTATGAAATGTCAGTGCTGGGGGGCAGGTTCTGTGGGTGTCTGTCAGGCCAAAGGACTTGGAGAACCCCCTGTTCCCAGTGATGCCTAAGCTTCTGAGAGTTGAGAAGCCCCCTTATCTGATTTTACTGCCTTATGGCAAATGTTGGGGTTGTAGCACACACACTCAAACTCCTAAGAACTGAGCAGGTGACAGGGCAGAGCTGTGACAAGCCTCACAGAAGTCTGCCCATCCCCCTAGACACAGCCCCAAACATGGACAGTGTCCTGGGTGAGTCGCATACTAAGCCTGAGAAACCGTCACCATACCTCACACAACACCCAAAGTCACACAACACACTGAGACATGAGCAATTACTTGGCCCACCTTTTAGAACAATGTGAAGGCACCCCATCGAATCCACAGGACAGATGGGCAGCTGGGCCCTGTCCTGAATACTTAACCCCTGTCAGACCAGCAGAATCCCTCACCATGACCCTCCATGTCTGCCTTCCCTCCTTGCAAGGCCCAGCCACTGTACTTCTTGGCTAGGCTTCCTGTGACCTCTAATTCTGGAGCCATGACCTGTGACCTTGTGGTTTGGTGGTCTCTGATCCTGGGGTTCAGCCACCTGGATCTGTCTTCAGCATTTCCAGGGACCTCAGGGTATTACAGGGATGATCCACTTGGAGAAACTGTCTTGAGAGATATGGTCGCCATCCCCAAGCTTCCAGATGACCCTCAGGCTTAAACAGGTCCTATGTGGCCCTGAAGTGGAGAACTAGGGTTTTTGGTTGGAAGCTATGAGAAGCCAGAATTTGACTTGAGACTTATATGACAGAATCATCCACAAGTTAGTTGCTCCCTTAGAAACTAAGGGATTTAGTTTCTACTCATCATGAGAGGCTACTCATCTTGGGTGACCTTGAAGGACCTAATATTGGGAGTTCTGTTTTTTAAGCCAAAGGGGAATGTCTCCCCATGGGGGCCAGGTCATGGAATCCAAGTGCTTTGTGCTTAGGTTCTCAAATATGTACACAGAAAAAGGAAAGGCTGGTGCTGGGGACAGCCACAACCTGGGGCCTCACACCCATCCCTGGCACTTCACCAAAGCCGGTCCCTGAATCCTAGCATGTGAACTCAGAAGACCCACTCTATTAGAGCAGGTGAGTTAGCAAGCAGACCTGCTGGTCCAGAGCTTAGGGCTAGGACCACCTAAGGCCTCTCAGGCTGCCCCAGAGGTATTCTCTAGAACCCTGAAGACAGAACTGCTCTGACATTTCACCTTCCAGTCCCAGGTAACCTTTGAGTCTTCAATTACCTCACACAAGATCCCTCAGAGTACGGACTCGGGGTACCCTGATCTGACGACTTCTCAGGGGAGGGAAGGTATGGGTTCACCTTACCGCAGCTACCCCAGTCCATGGATCCCATCAGAGGTCTTGTAAAAAGAGATATTCAGTGGGCGTGAGTAACACTCTAGAAACCTCAGTCCTTCCCAGGAGGACTGGCTAAAAAAACGTAAGTGCTGATGGGGACAGTGGTGGTGGAGAGCAATTTTGCTGAAACCAGGAGTGGACAAGATCCTCAGTGTCGGAGGCAGCGCTGGCATCCCTGCCCCTCCCCCCGAATCAAGAAACCAGGCAGCGAGGCTCTGGGGGCTGCTTTTATGGGGACGACCTGACAGAGGGCATGGTCCGTACAAAACCGGGAACAATACATACATATATATATTATATACAGAGACGCGGTCCTGCGGGGGCGGGGCGGGGGCAGCCATTGGTCCGAGAAACCGGAAGTGCCCCGTCCGGACCCGCCCCCAGGCCCCGCCCCCGCCTGCCCGGGCGGCGGAGGTGAAGTGCGCGGGCCGGGCGAGCCGAGGCAGCCTGCTCTTCCTAGGGTGGGGCACGACGGGGGGCAGGAGTGGGGCGGGGAGGGCAGGAAATACTGATCAATGGCACGGTCTATTTACAGGGGACGAAGAGAAGCCTAAACGGACGGGACAGGGGTTGTCTGTTTTTAAAAAATGAACAAAAACCCCAGGCTGGGGCAGGGGCATGAGGCAGGGGGGCAAAATGAGATGGATTCTGAAAGTGGAGAGACCTGGGGGTTTGGGGGTCTCACTTCCCTTGGTCCAAGCCCCAATTTGGGGTTCAAGTGGGGAAACGGAGTCGATTTCACTTAGAAAGCAGGCTGCCAGCAAGGCGGCCCTGGTCTCCAAAAAGGTTAGTAGTAAAATTCTGCCCTCCAGTCAAAACAATGGAAAACAGTAGGGGTGGAGTGGGGTGAGGCTGAATCTCTGCGATGTTAGTACAAGGCTTCCAGGTGTGGCCCTGGGCAGGCAGGGCAGGGCAGGGCCTGGCTTTCCGGTAAGTAATGTGCCCCTGGCTGAAGACCAGGGTCTCTGCCGCCAGGCACCCTAAGCTGACCTCCTTTCACCCCTGGCATTCCCAGGCTTGACCAGGAGACCTGGACCCTAGAGAGGCCCTAGAACAGTTTCAGGAAGAGGTTATGGCTATTTGGCACCTGGGGACGGGGAGGCACAGGGAGAGCTTGAGGGCTGCTGCCCCAAGAAAGGGGGAGGTGGGGACCAAGTGTTCTGGATTCTCCCCCTTTCCTGCTCTTGCTCCCCCTTTCCCCAAGGACACATGAGAAATCAGTGCAGGGTCAGGCCCTGCCTCTAGGCTCTGGGGTGGACTCCATCCCTCCTGGGACGGGGACAGGTGAGGGAGGAGGTGTGGAGGCAGCCCCTCCCAGCAGGAGGGTGAGAACGCAACAGACAGCACAATGATGGGGGCAGGGGAAGGGCCAAGAAGGTAGAATCTCAAGTCAAGAGGCCCAGGGGCCACCCAGAAGCCCCATGGGCAGGGAGCAGCCTCCAAGTGGTGAGATGCTGGGAGAGCCCCCAGCCCCATTCCAGTCCAGAGACAAAGGCTGGAGGTTGTAAAGTCTGGCAGTTTGGTCTGCAGGTCCTTTTGTCCATCCACCACCCAGGCCAGCCCTCGGCATCCCTTGGCCTGCCTCTGCTTCAGCCCCTAGGGCGAGGAGGCCATCCTTCCAGCCACCTCTGTCTGCCTGGGCCACCTAAAGGGGGCCTGTGTATGGGCCCACTGGTCCCTGAAGCTGGGGGAGGTGGGGTGGAGGGGTGGGGGAGTCGGGGCACCTGTCCCCAGGCTGGTAGAGAGTGGGGTGGGGTATTGAGGACAGGGGAGGGAGGACAATGGGAGGGTATTCGTTATTGTCTGTCCAGGAATGATTCCTGTTAAGTAGAATTGGAGTTCCTCAGTGTTTGCAGGTTTCCTTCCAGCTCTGAGATCTAGAACACAAAGGGGAAAGGAGATCAGGCCTGGGCACAATGGCAGCATCCTGCCCCTGCTGCCCCCCTAGGTCAGTAGCATGATCCCCACCCCACTTCAGGGTCCACAGAGGGGGTGCTCCATGGAGGCAGACTGCTGCTCTCCAGAGGGCCCTGCCTCTAGGGCAACCCCAGGCCTACCTTGTCCAGGAGCTTATCCATCTCCTCCTTCCTAGCCAGCTCTGACTCCTCCAGAACCCGACGCTGGGCTGTCTCCTTTTTCAGGAACTCAATCTCCCTGGGGATTGGGGTGGGGAACAGACGTGGGTAAGATTGTGTGGTCTGGCTTCCATCCAGGGTGTCTCAGGGTCTTCAACCCTGTCCTCAGCTGTTCTCTGTCAGGGGTCCCAGATCTTTTCAAAGCTTCTGGGGCCTAGTCTTTCCCTGTCCAGCTACCCTCCAACTTCCGTACGCCTTTCTTCCTTACTTAGCTGGGGGTGGGGAGCAACAACCACCAGACCTCTCCGTCCTCCCCGGCCCAGCCCCCCAGTACCCGGCTGCAGCGTACTTCTGCTGGTAGTCTTTGATGAGCCGCTTGGCTTTGCTGTACTTGCGCTCCAGTGCCTGGTACTGGGCCTGTGTCTCCCGAAGGTGCTCATCCACAGCCTGGCACAAGCTCTGGGCCTCGCCCCAGTAGCCCTCCAGTTTCTCCATGCGCTCCTTGTTCTCTTCCACACTCTGCTCCAGCTGGGCCTTCTCCACCCGCCAACGCCCCTTCTCCTGCTCTAGGCCTTGCAGCTGAGAGGAACAAGTAGCATGGGTTGGAGGGGCCAGAGGAGACAAAGCACACCCCAGCCTGGGACCAGGGCCAGAGTCTGCGTGATTCGTGTAGATAGGGAACCCACTGCCCCCCACCCTCTTTGCTGAGCCTGAGAACTGATTGTTGAGAGGAAAGTTTCCTTGCCAAGCTCACAAGGGTTTGTAGTGAGATGACAGATGTAAAGCAGGCCAGGGAGGCTCACCCCTGCCCTGTCTCCTAACTGCAGCTCTGGCCCCAATGACTACCCTGCTCCTGCAGCTTCTTGAACAATCCTGGCTCCTCTCACAGCCCCCAGCCCAATAGCCAGGAGTGTACACACTCAATTGGGAGTGTGTATGGGGGCACTGTGTCTGCAGGGCCTCTCTGCTCCCTGTCTCTCCCCAGCATACTGGAAGCTGGAACTCCCAGCTCATACAGATTTTTAACATGAAGATTGTGTGTCTACATGCCTGGAGCATGTGGCACCCTGTCTGCTTGGGTATCTTTATCTGTGTCATGTGTGTCACTATCAGGCAGTGTCAGCACGAGCACCTCTGTGAGAACAGAAGTTCCTATGACACTCGTCCTGAGCAACAGCCATGCCTGTGCGTGTCCCCTCTGGCCAAGGCCCCTGGATGCAACCTTGTGCAGCAGGGATCTAGCATCTCCATGTTATGTCAGCGGAGAGGGTGTCCCCAGGTGCCGGGGGTCCTAGCTGGCTTGTGTCTGTCTCTATCTCTCTGAGTGGTTTGCATTTGTGGCTGGGCTTGTATGTAGGGGACAAGCATGGACTGTATGAATGGAAGACACCTCAGTATAACAGCTGTGCTTGAGGGTGGTGGACAGTTGTTGCTGTATACAGGTGTGAAGGTGGGGGTGGCACCCCCCGATTTTGCCCCCCCCCACCGTTGTCCCCCCACAGCCTCACCTTTCTTTTCAGCTGCTGTATCTCTGCCTCGGTCACAGCATGCTTGATCTGGAGCTGTGGGGCAGAGGGCTGTGCTCAGCTCTGCAGGGCTGCAGGATAGGATGCTGGCCTGGCCTGACCCTTCACCGCCCCCATAACCCCTCCTCCTCCCACCTCCTTGAACTTATGCACCAGCTTCTCAGGCTCCATGTCCACAGGGGACAATGCATCCTCATTCTCCGCCAGCTCGAACACCTCAATGGCCATCTCACCACCTGGGAATGTGGGGCTCAGCTCCTCATCCTCGTCAGTGGCATATTCTCCGGTCTGCAAAGGGACAGGAGGCTGAGTACCCAGCCACACCAGCCTCCCTCGCCCTGATGACCAGGGCTTAGGTGGGCAGCAGTCTGCCCAGCTCACACAGGGGCAGCACCCAGGGGCATGATTCATGTTGTCCTCGTTAGACTGAGCCCCACCAGAGGTATGGTTTATCTCCCCCTGGGAGCCCCTTGAAGGGAGAGGTAGTTCCTCCATAAGTCTGGGACCCCCAGAGAAACAGCCTGTACTTTCACCATCACACTACAGGTCCTGAGTTCTAGGGCTGTCTCCTCCCTGGGATCAAGCCCCATGAGGTTAGTGGCTGCGTCCTGCCCTCCGAACGGGGGCTCTTTGAGGGACTTGTGTTTTAATTGTAGGACAGAAAGGGTGTCTGAAGACAGTGTATGACTTCTCCACTAGACTAGAGGTTCTTTGAGGGAAGGATCTACATGGCCTCCCTCAGACCGGGGTCCCCAGAAATAGGGAATTGCACTCTGGACTTCACAGGGCTTGGGAAAGACACAGGGTGCATGTAATGCTTCATTTGGCCACCAGGGGCCAGCAAAACTAGCAGCCAGTCCAGGGGTCCCTACCTCCTCGTCATCCTCCCCATACTGGGCGTATCTCTGCTCCATCATTTCCCGCTGCCATCGCTCCTGCTCCAGGGTCTGCTGAATTAGCTGGGCCACCTCGCTCTGCTCGCCTGGCCGCTCCCGGCCAATCATAAACCTGCAAGGACACCAGCATCATCACCGGCTTTTGTCCTCAGCTGAGTAATGCCACCATCCTCCCTGCTGGTCCTCCCCTTTCCAAACTCACACCTTCCCAGGGGAGGTGAAATGAGAGGGCTGAGTCCAGAGGCTGCAGAATGTTAATAATGAATGGAGGAGCCGGGGACTTATTGGGTTTCCTTCCCAGGAGTGGCAGAAGGTCCACTAGCCCTCCTGGCCAGTTCTGAGGAGGAACTTCAGGCTGGGAGCAGGGGACATGCGTTCAGGAGCTGCCAGTAGAGTGCTCTCCCCTACCACTAGGGAGAAAATGAGGCAGGGGAATGGTGGAACTGGCCTGTGCCAGCAGGGCTGGGCTCTGGAGGTGTGTCTTGTGTGCACTCCAAAGCCCTGAGCCTCAGGAAGGGGCGGGATGATGGGCACTGGAGATTAGGATAGAGAGGAAATAGTGGAACTTCCAGGCACCAGCCCCTCCTCTCAGTGGCCACCCACATCCTGTTTCATTCTCTCCACCACCCTTTCCTGGGGGCAGTGCCCCTCTTGGGGGAAGCAGGTAGTGGTCCCTGAATCTTATGCCAGAGATAGACTCCCTTAATATACAAGCCAGGGAGGAGAATTCCCCCAAGATTATAGGCTGGTTAAGAGGGAGGGATCAAGTACCCAGTTGTAGGACCCTAATTTGATGGTGCTCTCCCTAAACATGTTGGATCTTCAATGAATGAGTTGGGACATGCAGAAGGAAGGGGAATAAGTTGAGGTTTCAGTTTGGAGGTGCAGTGAGCCTTGAAGCCTAAGTGCTGTGAGGAGCAGTGATTGGGGGCGAAGGCGGGCAGGGGTCACAGGGCTGGGGATCCAGGCCTAGCAATTCCTTCAGCAATTCCTCACTAAGTTGGGCTTCCCAGAACCCTAGCTGGGTATGAGCAGGTAAGTCAGGAGATGGATGAGGCCCAAGCCTTCTGCCTGCACCCACTCCCCGCCCACGGCCCTCTGGGACCTCACCGCACGCGGCCCTTGGTGTTCCGGAGCACAGAGGCTGCGAAGCTCTGGGTCACTCCCACCAGACTCGTTCCATCCACCTCCACCAGAAGGTCGTTCACCTGGATTCTAGGGGAGGCAACACTGGTTAGGGGGTCATGAGGAGCTGGGATAAGTTGGACCCTCCCATCAGAAATCGAGGCTCAGTCCCTCTAGGGACCTGGTGCTTTGTCTAATGACATAAAATACATGAGGCCAGGGGCCCAGATATCAGCCAGGCCCATTTGCACGATTGCGACCTGGCCAACAAAACACACAGGCTTCCAGGCCCAGGAGGGTGAGAGCACACTTGGGTGACAGTCACATTCTTGTCCCCTCCTCCATCACACCTGACAGCAGTGTGACATCCACAGAGCACATCACCACAAACACACACACACACACACACAAGTGTGGGCCCGCAGCACATGTGACACCAGCCCTCTGCACAGACCTGACCCTGCAGACTTCCTCCAGAATGCTCCACAGGGTCACCTTGCCCCATGGAGATGCATGGCACCGACCTAGCCCCCTGTGGCATGGGAAGCCCTTGTTTGCCTCGCAATAGAGAATGGGGGTGGTCTATGAAGGAGTTGGGGACCCCTGGCCACCTCCTTCCTCCTGTGCCACCTCCTGCAGCGCTCCATGTGGAAATGGAGGAAGTGGCTATTTTTTTTACAAAGGCCCATGTATACAATAACAAACAGCTCACTCCACACACCCCACAGCAGGCGCGAGCTGGGACACATTCACACAAGCAAACTGCCAACAGAGCACCATGGGACTGGCTCTGGAATTAGGAGGCTAAGTGAGAGGGTGGGGATTGCCACCTTCCTTTTCTCTGCTTCCCCCAGGCCGTTGGGGCTTCCCAGGAGCAAGGCCTCATCACTGACCCTCAAGGGCCTGGCGTTAGCCCTACTACAGGGTCAGGGACTGGGTATTTGCTGAATGAAAAAAGAATGCTTGACAGTACTCCACCCTCTATACAACCCCCACTCCCTGCTCTCCCTGCCACAGCCCAGAACACTCCAAACCATATGCCACACCCCCCCACACCTCCCATGGCCCCTAGAATGCAAGCTCCCTGAGGGTACAGGCCCTATTTGTTTTGTTTACTGCCGTATCCCGAGGTCCTGGGCCAGCACCTGGTGCAGAAGTAATCCCCAAACACCTGAACCCCGCACAGGGATGGATCTATCTCACCCCATAGACACTGGCTGCTGGGGAAGGGCGGGCATACCTGCCGTCCCGATGGGCTGCACCCCCCTCAGTCACCGTCTTGACAAAGATGCCCAGCTTCTCCAGGCCCATGTCTGCTCCAGCCCCCATGCCGATGATGCTGATGCCCAGACCCTCGGAGTCTGTGGAGCAGAGAGTCGTGAGATGCCAAGGGGTGGGGCTGGGGAGATCTGAAGAGGCCCCAGCCCGGTTTGCAGGGCACAGAGTAAAAGATCCCCCATATTCACCCTCACTCTGCATGCACACTCATGCACAGAGATCCTCTAATTGGACCTCAACTGTGTCCTGTCCACCCCGTTGGCCAAGCCAACCAGGATTCTCCTGGGTCACTCCCTGCCTAGGAGGGAGACTATGAGTGTGTGGCTCGACAGGGTGGGGTGGCCATAGCCAGTTTGGTGTTCTTCTCTAAGCAACTTCATCCATACTCACAGCCTCCATGACCAAAACCCCCTGCCTTTCTCTGCTAAGGCCCTCTCCACAGCTTCCCCACCTGCCTCAGGGGCCTGACATCCAAACTCAGAAGTCCCCCTCCACTCGCTGGGGATGAGGGAATGGCACCACCATCTACTGGCTGCCAGGTCTGGTGACAATGGATTCCTCTCCCCTCCCCACAGCCTCTGCCTGAGCCAAATACCCCACATCCTGCCCATTCTGCCTCCCAAGGACCTCTCAAGTCCACCCACTTCCTGCACGGCCATCATCCTGTCTACACCACTGCAGTCTCTCGCCATCTACTTGTGACTCTCCCCTCATCACAGCCTGAAGCTGTGGCCTTTCTAGAATCACTTTCTAGAGCCTTGTAATGGCTCCCGGTGCATCTTAGGATGGTCCTTTACAAGGTCTACAGGCCTTGTCTGCACATCTGCTCCCTCTGCTCAAATCCAGCCAAGCCTCTCCTTTCTTCCCTATATTCTACCCTGAATTCCTCCTCTTCCGAGCTCAATTCAAGCTTACTTCCTTGGGGAATCCCCCCAAGTCTGGTGACATCCCCCATTAAATGCTGCTATGGAGGCCGCCCCCTCCCCCCACCGCACTGCACCTATTACAGACACAAGGACTTAGATGTGCTGTTCCCTCAATGTCCATCTCGCTGCAGAGAGGGAGATTGTTTTTGCCCATCATCGTGTGGCCAACACACAGCCAGGACCAGCCCACAGTGCCCCAGGGAGCTGAAGCAGAACTATCATGGGTGGGAGTGATGCAAAGGATGGAGTTGGGGCCCGGTCAGAGGGAGAAGCTGAACGTTCCTGTGGACGACTCTCCCTGAGGGAAGTCCGTCCCCTGGCCCCAGCCTCTTACCCTTCTCCAGCTCCACAGGGAACAGCTCCAACCTCTCCACACGTTTCTCCAGCTCGTACTCAGCGGAGGCGGCCATGGGGTCCACATCCTCATTGCGGCGATCATAGTCCTCATTGGAGTAGGTGCTGAACACCTGGGGGGGGCGGCTGGTCAGAGGGGCCCTCTGAGGGCCAGGGCAGCCCCAGCACGGGGAGCTGTGGGCCGCTGCCCACTGCCGTGTCCTCCTGCCACAGGCCTTCCCCAGGTTGGAGGTGATGAGGCCTCCCCAACCCCACGTGACTGACCCCAGTTTGAAGCAAAGGCCATTCTAGTCCCAAAGCTCCTGGGGCAAGACAGAAAGGGACTCAGTCTTGCTCAATCTACACTGTTATTCTTTTGTAGCCCAAGTGATAGGAGCATAATCCCCTGTGGAAGGAAAAGAAGGGTCCTGGAGAAATCATCAGACTACCAACCCTGGTCTCTAGGCCAGAGACCAACAGAGGGGACCAGCAGAGAGACAGTGAGAGGGAGCACCTAGAGAGCCAGCCAGGGGCAAGGGTGGGCTCAGACTGATGCAGACAGACAGCAGGAGAGAGGGAGGGACAGGCTGGGGGAAGAGGGGAAGAGGAGGAGGGGAGGAAGAACGGAGAAGATGCTGGAGGATGCCAGATGGGGAGAGAGGGGGGAGTGGGGTGTCAGACAAGAAGGGGGGAGAGAGGGATGGAAAGAGGCAGAAGGGCACCCAGAACCTGTTTGACCTGAACTTGACATTGGGGGGGGCGAGGGAGGGGGGCAGGACCACCTCTACCCCCTGGGAGAAAGGGCAGGCCCTCCCTCAACAACCACTGCCCCACCTGCAGGGCCAAGCCTGTCTGCCTCCAGAACCACAGCTCAGAGGTACACCCCTTATTCCCATGCATGAAGAGGCCCAGCTTGAGGCTGTTGCCCAGGACTCTGGTGACAGCAAGATCAGGGAAGTGGCAGCGGCTCCAGCACTATCCCTAGTGAACCCAGCTTCTAGAGGCCCAAAGGTAGCCCTGCCTTGTCCCCACGTTCTGTTCTCAGCAATAAAGAGAATCCCCCTGCCCAACCCTATTCTAAAGAACAGAGCAGGTAGGGCAGGGGTTCTGTAAAAGGGCCTAATTCTGGGCCCAAGCAAGGGTGGCCTCGGTGGGAGGTTAATGAGCACCATTTGGGGTACCATGACGTGTTCATGCTTCATTGCCTGCAGCGACAGGCTGGCACCACTTGGAGCCAAGCGGGGGCGAGGAAGGGTGGGAGCAGCTCTATCAAATGGCTGGGCCTGCGGCCTGAGGAGCCAGAATGGGCCCATCTCCTCAGAGGCCCCTGGCAGGGCCGTCTTCTCCAGGAGCAGGCTCCATGGGCACCCAGAGGGCAGTGGGCAGCAGCAACACTCAAGTCCCAGGCTTTGTTTGGGCTAGCTCAGTGTCATCCCCAGTCCCCTCCCCCCACAGAGGCTCACTCCCTCGGTGGGGGGTTCACAGAATTAGAAGCACAGCTGGGAGGGGCCTGTGTGGCCACTTAACTCACTGCCCTCAATTTTACAGCATCAGAGAAACTAAAACTCAGGCTCTTATAGCAGCCGTGGGCAATAGCTGGCAGTGGCCTAAGTCCCCTGGAGGGCCGGGCCACCCAGTCTGCTTGGTGCAAGACATCAGCTCTGTGACCCAAGGTCACCTGCCAGTGGTGGCGTGGGATGAGACCGCATCCATCTGGGTGCTCGCGGGCAGGCCCTGGCACACCAGCCCCAGGCCTGGGACAGGAACTGCCATGGGTTCAGCAAACGGTTTGGCCCACTTTTGTTCTGGGTTCCTTGACCCTCACCCTCTGCTCCAGCAGTAGGGTTCCCCCTTGTGTGTGCATGCACACACAGACACCCACAGATGCACATGACCTCTAAACCACCCTCAGTGCCTCCAGGGCTTTGCCCTCCCCTCTCTTCTCAGCCTTACAAATCCTGCCCGCTGCAGGAAACCCAGGCCTCCAGCTGAGAGGCCCCAGACCGCCCCCCCCCCTCACATTCCCACCATCATGTGCCTAGCCCATAAGAGAGAGTCCAGCACCCAATGCCCCAGCCCCAGATGACCATCTGGAATTGGGCTGTATTCCTAGTGGAAACTCCATAAAGGCAACAACTGGGTCATCTGCAGGGCACAAGCCCCTGGCCTTGTGTCCATGCAGGGATGGGGGCAGGGAGAGGGAAAACTGGGCCCGGGAAGCCCAGCGTGAGAGGCGGAAATCCCCACAAGGTCAAAAGTCAGACTTGAGAAGGCAGCACCACACACCACCGGTGAGCAGGTCACCAGGGAGTTGGGGAGCACTGCTCCAAATCAGGTGCTATTTTTTACCCAAAAATCAGGGTAAGGTGTCAAATATAGACAGTCAGAGGCCAAGGACTAAAAGACCAAACTCCACCTCTGAAGGGATCGGGCTGCGTGGAGAACTGGTGGCGGTGGTGCCTAAGTGTGTGTGTTTGGGGGTGGGGTCCTGACTCCCCATCCCCTTCCAGAGTGTCCCAAGAAAATTCTGAAACCTCACTTCCTTCTAGGGTCCCACAGCCTTCAGAGGGGGCGAGGGGACAGGAAAGGACTCCGAAGGTCACAGCCAGCGAGGGGCTGTCATGGGAGGGGAGTAGCACATTTCAGGCCCCTTGCTGGGGCGGGAGGTGGAAGAGGGACAGACGTGAAGATACTGGGGGTGGGTGAGAGGAAACTTGGGCAGCTTCAGTCCCCGCAGTAGTCATGGAAACTGCTGGCAAACAGCTGAGGGGTTGGCTGGGAAGGGGTAAAGGCTGGGCAGGGTCCAGGCCAAGGAAGTCCAAGAGCCTGGACACTCCATGGTCAGCCTGGGCTCTCTAAGCTACATGTGCCAGGCAAGAATGGAAGGTGCTGGTGGTAGGGGCTGGTGGTGCGGACTGTGGTTCTTAACTCTCAGGGGATGTCCCTCTCACCTCCTCTTCCAACTGTAACACTGCTCTGAGACTCTCAGGGCACTGGCACAACCCACAAATCTATCACCAAGAGTCATGTGCGGGTGGGTCACACCAAGACCCCCCCCAAAAGGGGGAAGCTCCCATCCCCCAGGGTGCCGTCAGGGCACCCAGCAAATGTGGCCAGTGCACCTGTGGCCTGCCAAGACCCTGGGAGTCTGCCCTGTTGAGTAGCCAAGAGCATAGCCAGGCAGGTCCCTGCCAGGCACCCTGGGGGGTATCCCAGCCCCACCTCCTCCTCCAGGCCCTGCTGTAGACCTAGTCTGTCGCCCCCAAGTGTGTGTCCTTGTGGAACCCAGCACCTCTAGCCAGTGGGAGCCGGCCTACCACAGACCCCAGCGTCCCCAGCACCAGGACTTTCCCCCACCCCCAGTCACATGGCCCGAGGCCAGCTCACTCTTCTCCTTCCCTCTTTCACTTCTGCAAATTTGGGGTGGGGGCTCCAGACTGGGTAAGGAAGGGTTGCCGTCTCCCACACCTTGATTTTGGGAAGTTCCAGCTCCTCCCTCCCTCCCCCTCTCTAGCTCCCAACCAGGAGAGCAGGGAGTGTGTCAGAGCACCCCCGACCCCCTCCCTCCTAGAGTGGAGTAGGGAGAATGTGAGGAGGCTGTCCTGAGGACACCCTCCCCCCCACCCCCCCACATCTTCCTACCACCCAAGCCCCAGCCTCTGGGAGCCTCTGGAGGAAGGAATGTCTGGGAGAGGAAAGGAAAGCAGGTGCCCCAGCACCCCTGTGGGAGCGGAGCCGCCAGGGTTCCCGGGGGCGGGGCAGCGGCGGCAGAGGAACCTGAGGACAGGTCAGGGCAGGCCACGCTGGGCCTGAAAAACGTCCCCCTCTGACAAACAGCTGGAACTCCCCCACGCCCCCCCCAGGGTGGTAACTTCTGGGAAGGGGGCTGGGTGGCAGGGGCTGACTCAGCCTGCCAGAGCCGGCAGGCAGGGCGGGGGCGACAGCATGCGCTGCAGGGGCGGCGGGGGGCGGCGGGGCGCACTCACTTGGATGGGCGCTGTGCTGAAATGGATCTTCCGGCTCGGGGCCGGGTCCTCTTCCTCGGAGAGCCCTGGGATCTCCACGCACCCCGACTCGGGCTCGTAGGGGGGCTCCCCATCCTCTTCGTCCTCGTCGTCCTCCTCCAGGGCGCTGCCCCCGGAGTCCTCCCCAAGCCCACTGTAGGCGCTCACGTCCACCAAGTCCGCCTCCGAGAAGTCCTCCTTCCTGGACTCATCCGCCTCCTCGGGGGCCAGGTCCGGGGCCCGGCCATTCCCCACCCCTCTCTCGGGCGCTGCCTCCTCCTCAGGGGCCACCTGGGCCTTGGGCTCCTCGGGCGCAGGGCTGGCTGGGGTTGCCAGGGCGCTGCCATTCTCCAGGGCCGCGTGGACCGTCACCTCCGCCTGGATCACCTCCCCGGGCGCGGCCTCGGCCTCCGACTCCCCGCTCTCCTCCACCTCCACCGGCTTAATCTTGCGCACCTCCCGGGGCTTGGGGGGCGGCCGGGCGGGGGCCACTCGGTGCTGCGGGGGCTGCTGCCCTCCGGGGCCACGCTCCTTCTCCGCTGGGGCGTCCCCCGACGGGGCGGGCGGCGGCGGCGGCGGCTGGAACACCCGGGACCGCTTACTGACCAGCTTCGAGTTGACCTGGGGCGCCCCGGCGGCCGCGGCCCTGGGCAGCCCGGGCCCGCGGTGGAGGCCGGTCCTCGAGTCGGCCTTCTCGAAGACGGCGCTGAGCTGGCTGACCGTCGGCGACACGGCGTCGGCGTCCAGCTTGTCCAGCGCCTCGGTGCTGCCATTGAAGCGCACCACGACGTCCAGCTTCCGGTCCTGCAGGCCGGCGCGCTCCTGCCTCAGCAGCCGCCGCGCCGCGGCCTCCTTGTCGCCGCCCGCGGCCGCCGGGACGCTCCGTTCGAAGAGCTTGCGCGTCTCCTGCAGCCGCGACGGCGCGTGCGGCGGCGGCGCGGGCTGCGCCGAGGGCGCGGGCTTGGAGTCGAAGCGGCTCACGCGCTCGGACACGCTGGTGCCCAGCTTGAGCAGGGCGCTGTGGTCCACGTTCTCGTTGAGGCTGCTGGCCCGCGGCAGCGACAGGCGCACGCCGCGCTCGGGCGCCCGCAGGGCCTCGGTGGGGCCCGCGCCGCCGCCCGCCTCGCCCGGCGGCCCCGCCGGGGTGCCCATCTGCAGGAACATACTTTTGATGCGGTGGACGTTGGAGCCATATTTCTTGTGGTGGGCCGCCTTGGGTGCCTCGTCCGGCCCGGGCGCGTCCGGCGGCTTCAGCGCCTGGATGCCCGCCTCGTAGGCGCTGCGGTGCGGGGAGGCGCTCCGGAGGGGACCCCCGGGCCCCCGCGGCTCCGTCTTCATCATGATGGGGGGAGCCGGGTTCGCATCCCCGGGCTTCCCGCTCCCCCCCTCCAACAGGCGGCTCGCCAAGTCGGGACCACCGCCCCCGCCCCCCCCGAAAAAAGAAACCCCCGAAGGGCCCTTTTAGGCTCCCCCCCAAAAAAATCAGCTGCCCAAAACAGATAACCCCGCTTTAAAAAAATTAAAAAAAAAAAAGCCAACAAAAAACCCACGAGTGCCCTGTGTGGGTCGCCTCCCCCAGTCAGGCTGCCGGAGACGGCCGCCCCCCGCCCCCCGCCCCGAGCCCCGGCCGCCCGCGGCGGTCGCCCCCACCCAAATCGAAAAACGGCGTCCGGGGCCGGCGGCGCCGCGCGCCCAGCCCGAGAAGCAGCGCGGAGGCGCCGGCTCACATCGTCCGAGGCGGTGTCAGCGGGGCTGGCAGCCCGGGCGGCCCCCGCCCCGGCCCGGGCCTCGGCTCTCAGCGGGCCCGGCATCCCGGCACCCGGGGCTCTCCGCGGACCCCGCCGCTGCGCGCCGCGCCTCCCTCCCTCCCTCCCTCCCCCCCGCGCCCCGAGCCTCGGTCTTTCTCTGGCTCTGCCCGAGCCGCGGCTGCCGGGGACCGAGCGGCTGCCCTTCTCGCCGCCGCCGCTGGGGGACTGGCACCTCTGGGTCCTAAAGGGATCGGATTTCCGGGGCCAGAGCCTGTGATCCCTCCCCTTCCCTCCGTCTGAAGGTGTCCCTGCCCCTGCCGGGCCCTCGCCGGCAGCCTTCCGCCGACCCCGGCCCTGCCCGGCGCGCTGCGGCCCTTCTGTCCCCACCTCTGACTGTGGCTGATCACAGCCCGCAGAACCGCACCCCGACTGTGTATTGGGGGAAGCCATCCAGCCACAGTGGTCTCAGTGCGGGTTGTGGGTGGGGGGGTCCCTCTGCACCCTAAATGTGAAGGGAGATCAGTGGGAAGGAGCAAAGGGTTATTTCCTTCAAGATCCATAGGGTTCCCTGGTGTGGTTTAAGGCCATCATCAAAATCATGGGGAGCTTAAAAAAAAAAAAAAAATCAGATGTCTGGGCCTTTCCCCAAACTTTATGAAGCAGAGCGGCACACACTGTGCCCCGGAAACGGCTTTGAAAATTTTTCCCATAAAGTAATTTTGGACCCACCTGAAGTGAAACCTTGGCCCAGTGTTGCTGGTCTTACAGAGGAGGCGGCGGAGGAATGGAGAAAGGGGCCAGCTGTCCCCTCCCAGGTGGCAGTCTGTAGCTGCCCCTTGCAGATCTGAAGAGGGTGACCTGCCCCATGCTTGTTCTGCACCCAGGCTGGAAGGCGGGTGGAATCCCAGGCTTTGGTCCCCTGCCAGGGCCCTCTTGCCTCTCAAACAAGAAGCCATTTTGGGGGAGGAATTCTGGAGACCTGGGGACAAACTTTCACCCAAGAAGGCTCTAGCTTGGGTCTCTGACCAAAAGGACCCTGGCCACCAAATGCCAATGGGGGAAGAGGGCTTAGGGGTGGCAATGACCTATATGCCCCCTGTCCTGGCGACCAGGACAGTTGTTTTGATGGTCCCACTGCCCCCACACAGAAAAGGGGTCTGGAGTTGCCCTCTCTGTCTCGCCCTCCCCAGCTGCCATGGCCTGGGGGGTAGACATCCAGTCTCTAGCCCAAAACAGGTCCAGATGCACCGCCTCAGTCCACAGAGCCCAGAAAACGATGAACATTGTGGACCCTAGGACCCAGGGAACAACTCAGGCACAAAGCCTCCCCCCCCCCCCCAACTCCCAGCTGCTTCCTGCATCTCAGGCCTTCCTGCGGCCTCAGCCTCCCCCCTTCCATCCTCTTCCTCTTCTTGCCTATCTCCCACTCTCTCCTGCTCCCACTGGCCTGGAAGGGCTGTCTAAGGGAGTCCTCCTACCCCTCCTCTGAAGAGGTGTGTGTGGGTTTTGTGGGATATTAACCCATGAGCACGTGCAGAAGCGCATGGGGGATGGGGTGTGGGTAGCCAGCCTCTTGGGAACCCTGAATATTGGGACAGGGAGGGGCCAGGAACCACAGGGCTGGATCCTGAGGCTGGTGATCCAGAGGCCAAGGGAAAGGGAAGATTTGGGTTGTGAGCAGGAGCCGGAAATGAACCCAGACCTCAGGCTTTCCAATGCCACTGGCCTTTTCTTTTCCCAGCTGTGCAGGAAATTCCCCTGCCCCCCAATTTCACCCTTTGGGATGGGGCAAAGTGAAGAAGCCAACCTCAATCTCCTTTGCCTCCTAACCCCTCTTAGAAGATCTATTTGGGAGCTGGGAATTTGGGAATTGGGTTTCTAAGCTTAAACTGGGCCTGAACACCCCCCTCTCCTCATGGGTACCCTAATCCCACTATGGAAGTTGGGTGAGACAGAATTCTCACCTAGTAGGGGGTTGGGGCAGAGTGTCCTCAGAAGCACTTGTGTGGATTGGAGGAGGACGCAGGCCCCTGGGTGTTCTGCCCAGAATCTCCCACACCCTTTGGTGAGTCATCTTAACTGGTCCCAGCCCAAGGGGTCTGTGCCCACGCTTCTGGCCAGGTGGGGAAGCCGGCTCTTAAGGGTGGGAGGAGAGCTGAGAACCAGCTGTCAGGCCCAGAGACCTGGGACTCCCATTTCCAGCAGCAGCTTGGAATGAACCAGAATCATTGTGATACCGGGGGCTCCCTTGTTTTCAGTCTGCCAACAGTGAAATCCCTTTAAGCGTTTGGGATGAAAGATGGGGAGCCGGCCAGGACTTGGATGACTGAGGCTAGCGAGTGGGATTATTATTTCATGGGCGCCTGGTTAGCTCGCATCACCCCTGGCCAGAATTCCCAAAGAAGCTTTTACACAGCAGTAAGTGCTTTACCATCACTCCTCCCCTGGAACCAGGCACCAAGCCTCTGGCCTGTGAGATGGGTTATCTCCTCCCGCCTTCCCTCCCTGCCTGCCTGGAGCAGTAAATCCCACCTTTGAGGAGAGGAGGGCAGGGCAGTTACGTTTGGGAGGGTTTAACCAGTCAAACTGAAGGGTTCAAACCTACCTTTCATTCTTCAGATTGCAATCCTCATTTATCTGCTCTGGGTTAGCACCCCAGGAACTTTTAACCATTCTTTCTCTTTCCATTGTCCTTTGTGGAGGTGGCCTTCATAGCCCAATGCCTGGTTGTCTTTGAATGGAAGTCCCATCCTTACCTTTGTCCTAGACTAGAGAAGGTGAAGCTGTTCCCAGAGATGACCCAAGAGCCAGACTGCCAGCGTTCAAATCTGTTGTCTCCCAGACGAGCTGTGCAAACTTGGACAGGTCACTTGAGCTCTCTGTGTTCTGAGAGGATAAACTGAGGCCTCTGAGGGGACTAACAGATAGAGGTGAAAGTGACTGGGGCATCCGATCTAGGGTATGCGGAGGAGATGCCTTTCCTAGCCCTGGCTAATAAGGCGAGGCTTCTGTAGGGAGAGATAATCTGTCCTCCACCCTCCTCTTGATAAAGTCCCTCCCTGCGTTCCCACATACCCCCTAATCTGATGAGAGCTCTCTGGGACTGTTCCTTGAGGCTTGCTACTTTTAAACACCAGGTACAACTGCAAAGAGTGTGATGAAGTCAGGGAGAGACCTGATTTGTGATAAGCGCTCAGCGCCCGGGGCTCAGGCCTGGGCTGGGTGCCAAGGCTGGCTACTCTTCCCAGTCCTGGGCTTTGAGACTCAGCCTCTGAAAGTGGTGTTTCCGTGGCCACGGTCAGCTGAGCCGAGCTGGCCTGGATGCTGCCCTTCGGCCGCCTTTCGGTGAGCCAATGGTCCATGCTCCCCTCTCTCTCCTTCATCTGTCCTCTTCTGCCAGGGACTTGGGTGCCCTGGAGAAGGGCGTGTGTGTGTACACATTTACACAAGAACTCAAATCCAGGATGTCAGTGTTGGAGGGGCCTTAGTGGCCCTTGGCTGACCCCTTCCCAGGGAATGAGGAAGGCTGAGACATGGAGAGGGAAGTGAACTGCTCAGTTTGAGAGGAAGAGACAGGCGAGGGTTCAAGATCTGAATTGAGTCCTAGCTCCACTCATTTATTGGGTGACCGCGGGCTAGTCATTTCCCTTCCCTGAGCCAAATTTCTTCAAAGAGCTCAATTGGAATGTCTGAGTGTTTCTCCCAAGCACAGATGATTCTGGGTATTCCCCACTCAGTGCGCAGCAGAGCAGAACCCATGCTTTGGAGTCAGACCATCCTTGTTAGAATCCCTAACCTGCCACTTTGCAGCTAAAGGACTCAAACACATTCCTTCCTCTGGAAGATGGAGATAATATGCCAACCTCATAGTGTTGTGAGGATTAAATGAGTGCTAACTGAACGACTCCTGGCCCAGAGTAGGAGCTTGAGCAGACTGTGATGAATTGCATGTGTATCTGGACATGTATAGAATGGGGGGCATTCACATGTGTGGGCAAGTATGGACCCAGTGGACCTCAGCGTTTGCCCCCCTGAGTGTCTTCATGGAACTTTGGGCCTCTTATTTCCTTCTAAGGACTATTATATGAAATTCTGAAATATAAGCACCCCCTGCCTGCAACTCTCCCCATCTTTGGGACCATCCCTGGAGCAAAGGTGATGTCCCTTTTCTATGTCCCAAAGGGTTTTCTTTTCTTTTGTTTTTTTTTAAGATTTATTTATTTTAATACAAGAACTGGGGTACAGGCCAGAAGCATAGGAGGGGTGAGAAGATTCACCAGAGACAGAGCGGGGAGCATAACAGGCAGACGGACCAAAGACACTGCTGAGGGGAGCAGTGGGTGAGACAGGAGAGGTCTGCTGCACCATGTGGGTAGCTCCCTGGCTAGCCAGGAATCGAACCTGCACTGCAGAAACTGCGGACAGCTTCACTGTGCTGCGCTCAACCCGCTGCGCCACCGGGGAGGCCCACCAAAGGGTTTTCATTCCTGCCTCTTAGTACATTAAGTCCCCCACTGGCCCTGCAGGGAGAGGGGTCCTTGGGGTCCTCCCGCGGCTGGGAGACTGTCTTGCTGCCTGGGTCTCTCTGCTGTCCCCCTTCTACTGCTCATTCACCCTCCATGCTTCCCTGTTACAGCACTTAGAAAATTCAGACACATCGT